TAATTGTATTTAGTTGAAATAAATTTAAATTTAAGGGATTGTAGCGTTATTCTCTTTTGGTTTTTGCTTGGCTTGGGTTGCATAGTATGTGATGTGACCTATGAAAAATGGGATCATTAGAAGTGGTTCGTGTATATGTCCTTAGTTGAGATTGTTAAATTTATGATGATGTATATCTTTATCCATCCCTAGATATATGAAGTGAACTTAGGAAACGGTTACAATATGCATCTACACTATGGGCTAGCCATTCGGCAAGCCCTCTCACGACTACCTTAGTCGAATGTGACCAACATATTGTAGGTCCTCAATCGCCAATATTACTGGTCCTCGATCATCGTTTCTGCTACGTCTAAAAATCATTTGTATTTTTCCTTGAATGTCTATTGCATACACTCGTTGTACCTTCATTTTGAAGCGATGGTTTGTGCATTTAACGTAAGCATTTTAAGTGTGTATGTAACTTACTGGTGAACTGGAGATGAGTTGAAATATGTTGACATTTGATCCTATCAAATTCGAAGGTCAACAATATTCAATAACAATGGTTGGGTTGGGAAAAAAACAAAGGAATAGCGAGAATTTGACTACCTAAAAGAGAGAAAAACAAATTTCTTCAAATAAGTTACAGAAAGAAATCTTATTTTTCTTTCCAACATCATCTCACCAAACAATTCTCAAGATAACAAAATGGTTAAAAAGTGAAATTATCCAATTGAATAAAATAAAAGTATAATAAACGTGAATGAAATGTACCACTAACAAAAGAGAAAGGAACAACATAAGAAATAAGTATTATCATTGACACTTTAATGATTAAATTTCATTTGATCAGGGCTCGTGTTGAGTCCTATCAATTTATTAACAATGATTTGCATGACAGCTGTTTCTTTCTTTTCTTTTTTTCTGTTTTCTTTTCGAAGGCTATTTAATACCAAAAAGGAAAAAAAAAAGGTTAAAAAGGGAAATTAGAACGTGGGATGTAACTTGATTAGCACATGAAGGTCTTGGCTTCTGTTCCCTGTGACCTAAATAACAAGTGTCAGGTTACTGGAAGAAAGCAACATAAAATTTCAATAAATCCCCTCAAAAAAAAAAGAAAAAAAAAAATCTTAATCAGACTATAAGTTAGTTTATAAATATGAAGAAGTAACATTTAAAGTAAACAAAAGTTATGAAGAGTCAAGAACCTCGTTCAAGCTCCTCTTGTGCAGCCTGCAAGGCCTTAAAGAGAAGATGCATCCCGAATTGCCAGTTCGCCCCGTATTTTCGTTCAGATGAGCGAAAGAAGTTTGCCAAAGTACACAAGGTGTTCGGAGCCAGCAACGTTAGCAAGATTCTTAATGAGGTAGCAGAGGAGCAACGAGATGATACGGTGAATTCGCTTGTTTACGAGGCTGAGGTGAGGCTGAGAGACCCTATTTATGGTTGCATTGGGGCTATAGCTTCTCTGGAGAAGAAGATGGTTGAATTAGAGCATGATCTGATGCATGCTCGAGCTCGTCTTGCATCTTGTGTTAATCAGCATGGGAACATGGCCACTTGGATTTCTGATATTCCTGTGCCTAGTGGTATCGTGGAGGCCTTCAACCAGAATTCGTTTTCCTTTAATCAATGTAGCCATCTTCCATTTCTTTAATTCTCTCTCTCTCTCTCTCTCTCTCTCTCTCTCTCTCTCTCTCTCTCTGTTTTCTATTTTATGTTTCCATGACAAAATTTTAATGGATGTCATATGAATCAAAGTGAAACTTTCATGTAATTGTGCTCTGCAGAATGGTTTTATGCGTATGCTATTATCCCTCAGTTACAGTTGCTTTAACTTTTTTATGTATTCAACGGATTTTGTTCATTCTTGGACATGAGAACAGATTTTCGCAACTTCGTTTGCATAGGGCTGGAGAGTGGAGATGGAAGTTATGATCATTAGGTCTTCAAAGCATTTCTAGTACCTCGGATTAGACAGCATCAAGCACGTAAAGAGCAATGTGACATTTGTCGACTATCATGTCTAGTGTAACATTCCAAACTTATTCCACATGCTTCCGAGATTCAACAGGAGGCAATTTTCATTATATTTGCATCATAGAGTCCATTTTATCGAACTAGTCTGCAATGTGTGTTAGCAATTTACTTGACCAAGTGGATTCATCATGAAAATTAATGAGATCAAACCAAATCATATCCATGGTCACTAGAGTAAGGCCAGATAGTTTTTTCACAATCATCCTACCATTGAACGGATAAATGAAATTGGAACACAGTCAAATGTAATATCATCCGTCACATGCTAATGGAATGCCTTTTGGATTAGGCATGTGAAAGTTTATCAAAATGGGGGTGAGACAATCATATTGTTTGCAACTTTGCATTGATTACAAGTCCACTAGTTAAAGCGCATTTTCCACTGCAAATTCAAACAAGAAACAGGAAAAGTTGATGTGCAATAAACCATTGGATGCTTGTTGTTTAGTTCGTGTGATTGCTATCTTGCCTTTAGGAGGCCACAACGATTGAAAGTTAGTGACTGAAGTTTAGGCTTCAGTGGTTGAAAACCGAACGAGAACGAAGGGCCCCTTTTCATGAGGTTTGTAGCACATTATCTGAATTACTGCAGTCTCGACTCATTTTGCAGTGGATACAGGTCGTGGAGGTATAATACCGTGCAGAGATCACAATATACATGAACCAAACCAAGAAACTAGCTCAGAAACTCACAACCCTGTATAAAATGAAGATAGGCACCATATTTGCATAGCTTCAAACACGTGAGATCCTGCATTGAACAATAGACCAGCAGCAGAACACTATGGACTTCCCATCACAAGTCCTAATAATAGCTAATGCCCCAGATGATGTTTCCATTGGCCAACTTCAAGACAGGACAATATCAAGGCATCAATGAACACCTAAAACAAAGGACCACGGCACTGATCTGAGTTTTAGTTCCAAGATGAAACCAGCAAGAATATTACCTAGTCAACCAATCATGGGCAAGAAAATCTTCTGACAAATTCTACATGTTCAGAATAACTCCTAATTCGACTGTGTTTTTGGCCAGTATTTACTGGTTCAGCCACCTCCTCCCTAAGGCAATTTTACACAAGATTGCTACACTTCAGATCACTCTTACCAGAAAACAAGCAATATAACAAGCATTGCACCATGAAGTTTGGGTCCATAAAGAAAAAACATATCAAAAAATGAAATGCTTATATTTCATGAAATGAAGTTATAAGCTTTCCTATAATTAGATAATGCATAAACAGCACACGATATCATTAGCCATAGACACCTCTTACCAACGCATTCTGATTCTCTATCAATCACATTTTATATCCTCTCAATAATGATCTCAGACGTACCTCTATACAAAAAGAAGATATTGTTAGATAATCCTTAATAACATAGATGTCATCTGTGTGTCAATTCAATTGTAAAGAAATGGCACAATGATGAGCTAATTGTACCTGATTGTATTATTGGGCTGATTTGTTGGTTTGCTTGTTGGACTGTTTGTTATTGGGCTGGACCGTTATTTCTGATTACTTGATGGCTTCTGTTCTTTTTGGTTATAAGCGTGTTTAACTTCATACATTTTTACTTATAGCTGGACGGTTGAGATATCTCCCAGTATCGCCCCAATGACGGTTGAATGAAGACTTTCTGGAGACTTCTCATATACTATGGTTTGAGTTTGAGTTGGTTGTTCATTCTTTCACTCTCTCTCTCTCTCGCCGTCTTTGTTCTGCACTCTAAATTTTGGAAGCCTTCTTTAGATTTTTCTACAGTCCTTGTATATATCTTGAGTGATTTGTAAAGGGCTAGTATTGCATCATTGAGTGGTTTGCTATTTCGATCAGTTTGAGGGTTTGTTCTTCTTTGATGTAATCTTGTGTGATTCGTCTAAATGTCTGGTGTAATCCTTTAACAGAGTTTGATTCTTGATAATATAGTAATTTCTTCCAATTGGCGGAAACTCAAAAAGGGGATTAGGTACTTTGTTCTGAACCTCTTGCCTATAGGCGAAAACCACGTGTTCTTTACTTGTTATTTTTCAGTATTTTGTGCATTATTATTTCTATTTTTGTTGGTTAAGTGGCTGATAATTTTGAACCTACTCCTTACATCAATGAAGTTACTTTGCTGTAGCATTGAAAGGATTCGTAGTTCATTGAGAAATTAGTGTCTGCTCTGTGCATTTCAATTTATTTTAATGGACTCCTTGCAATAAGTAAAAGAAAATCTATCTTACACATCATATGCTCATTGTAAAACAAATTCTCACAAACAAACATGGTACAACCCTGCTAACATAGGGACTAAGGTGCC